GGTCTCTGAGCTGGGCTTTGGGGGCACGGGGTGCACAGGCTGGGGTGGCAGTGCTGGAGCTCCCTTTGTGGTTTGTTTTGGAGGTGGGAATGAACAGTGTGATTGCATTCAGGATGTGGGCTTGGGAGAGGGGACTGGACTGCACAGGGAAGTGCCCAAATCATGATGAGGAAAGATGGAAAAACCCCTTTTTGGCATGGTTTGAGACTGACTGGTTTAGTTCCCAGCTCTGCTTGGCTACTGGGGAGCTCCAGCTCAGGGGTGTATTACAATGCTGAGCCCCAAAAACAGCCTTGGGAGTCTGAGCCTAAACCCTTGTTTCTAAAAGCATCAGGTAAAACAGAAGCTGTCCCCTCTTTCTACAGACCTTGCCTCTCACCTGTCTTCAGGCCATCAGTGCCACCACCTCCCTTCTGTCCCTTTGTGTCCCACCCACCAAAGCCCAAAAACGAGGCAGCTCCCCTGTTTTGATGTCCCTTGAAAAGGAAGAAGTGGAGCATCCCCAGCCCACAGGATTTACAGAACCTGTCAGTGAGCTCAGTCACTGTCAGGACTGCTGTCAGGAGCCTGCAGCAGCCAGGGAGAACAGCTCCTGTGCTCCTGATCATGTTATTCTTCATTAATTACACTGGACACCTTAGGGATGCACATGTGGACGAGGCTTAACAATTGCTCGGGAAGTAAATGGGAAGCAAATTAAAATTCAGCATGGATGCAGCAAAACATAAGTTCAGGTTTTGTTTGGTGTCTAAAGTTGATAAAATCTCCCCAGCTGCTGGCACTCACCGAAACAACCCGCGCTGCCCTGGCAATCTGCTGTATTTCCAAGAGCTCCGTGCCATCAGAAGCCCCCGGACACCCCTGGAGGTGCTGGCTGTGAGCAGCAGGGTGAGGCAGCAGCTTTCTGGCAGCTGCTGTCTCTGCCAGCCCGCCCTGCTCCCCCTGAGTAAATGCCTTGTAGAGGCCTGAAGCAGTTTAGAGCACTCAGTACTCAGAGGAGTGTTTAATATTTGATTACTGCAGGGTTTCACTGCTCTCCATGGAGGTTCCTGGGTGTCCAGGAGCCAGGCTCCATCAGACATGGCACCACCACCTGTGCCTGGCAGCCTGGGGATTTTGCTGGATGTGACCCAAAATAAGAGTGAGTTCTTGCAATGCCAGCGTCACTCCGGGGTCACCTTGGGGCTGGAGACCCAGGTGAGCAGGGGAATTCCCTCTCCAAGCACAGGAGGTGCTCCTCTCACCCCAAAATGTGCCCATTTGAAGAGAGCGGGGAGGAGGTGCCCTTTCATCTTTTAACAGTGCAAACAGAGCAGAAGAGCAGGCAGCAATAGTAAAGGTAGCACAAATAAAAAGGCTTCTGTTGCCTTCAGGCCATTTTCTCCTGGAGTAAGAACGGACTCAAATCACCTTTTGCAGGCTCATGGCAGCAGTCAATGGCAATACCACAGGAAGCCTTGGAACCCTTGGAGTGCAGTGTGCATTCCTTGAGCAGCCCTTCAGGGAGCTGAAAACAGCCTGGCTAACCCAGCAGGTGACGATGGGCACGGCAGGACGAGCTGCTGCCACCCAGCAGTGCTCCTGAACAGCTTTCCTAAGCATGTCCTGAGTGCCCACAGCCCCCTGTGCCCTTCCTGCAGGGTTTGCTGCCAGGGCAGGGATGCAGGGAGCTCATGGAGCCCCATCCTGCTGGGCTCCCTGCCAGCCTCGGGGGAGCTGGGATCCCTGGAGCCCTGCTAAGCTCTGTGTGCAGCCTGCCTCTGATAGATCTCCACTTCTGCCTGCTCCAGGAGTGCTCCTGAGCCTCAGGCTGAGCTCATTAGGCTGCAGCACAGCCAAGCTCTCTGCTGCTGCTGCTGCTGAGAGCACAGAACGGGCTCTGGACATTCTGGCTGCACATTTGTGCTGGATTAGAGCCTCTTGCCTTCTCTAGAGGTGCATGTGTACAGAGAAGCACTCTGAAATGAAAGGTGGAGTTATTCAAAGAGGAATTAATCCTGCTGTAGGGGAGGCAATTGAGCGTTGACATGATTGGTGCCTGTAACTAATTAAACACTGAGCTCACTGACAGGTTCTGTAAATCCTGTGGGCTGGGGATGCTCCACTTCTTCCTTTTCAAGGGACATCAGCACTTCAAGAGCCAGAGAGGGAGCAGAAGGTGGTGCCCCAGGGAGATCCAAGTGAACACCCTGATTGGAAGGGAAGAGCAGATGTGGCTCAGGGAGAGATGAGCTGGAAAGGCTGCGTGCTCCTCCACGCTCCACTCCTCTCTGAAGGCAGATTTTGGGTGGACACGTTTGCATGAGAACTGGCAGGCAAGCATTCCAACAGCTCGCAGAGGGAGGATGCACAGTGAGGTGTGAGCAGGGATTTGCTCTCCATTCCTCCCACCTGACCCTGAATCCCTGGGATCTGCAGTGCCCCACAGGGAGCACCTGTGTGTTTGTGCTGTCAGAGAGGGGCTGCCAGGGGGGTTTGGAAATGCCCCAGCCAGCCAAGAGCCTTCAAATGGAGCTGCAGTTCTGGGGGCACAGGGCTGTGAGAGCCCCTCCAGGCTGCCCCACACACGGGATTTACCTGCAAAAAATGGCTCAGGTGAGCAAAGTCAGGGCCTCGCTGGCATCTGGGGGAGGGTCAGGAGCTTTTCCAGGTCCCAGTTACTCACAGTGGTTTGGGGTTTTATCCCAGCCTGTCTCCTGTAAATTTGGAAAGCTTTAAAGCTCTTTTAAGCTCCTGAACCTTGCCTTCAGATTCCATTTGGAGCTTTCCCTCTGCTGCCTCCTTCCCCTCAGGTTCCAACAGAAGGAACCATCCTGCAGCAGTGCCACCTGGGTGTCCCCTGGACCCACAGCAGTGTCACCTGGGTGTCCCCTGGACCCACAGCAGTGCCACCTGGGCGTCCCCTGGACCCACAGCAGTGCCACCTGGGCGTCCCCTGGACCCACAGCAGTGCCACCTGGGCGTCCCCTGGACCCACAGCAGTGCCACCTGGGCGTCCCCTGGACCCACAGCAGTGCCACCTGGGTGTCCCTCTCTCCTGCTGGTGGGTCTCACCCACCAAAGGCTCTAATTCCTGCAGAAAGGAACCCCACCCAGCCATGGGGCACTCCCTGGGTGTATTGCTGCATTTTAATCCTGTTTCTCTGAGCAGTTTTCATCCTCTCTGCAGCCTTGCCCTGGTGATTTTCTGCATGGCCTCAGCTGCTGACCCTCCCAGAGCATCCAAGGTAGAATTATTTCCAGCACCTGTGATGGATAAGGCAGCCAGGAGAATGGATGCAGGGCATTAGGCATGGTCTGTGCTCACCTTCAGGAGCTGCCTGCCTGAAAACGTTGGGCAAAGAGTTTTCCTGTTTAAAAAAAATGACGTTTAAACACTGGTTTTAAGAGAGATCTTCCATCATAAATTGATTTCTGGTTCTGGAGTTAAAATAAGGAATCTAAAAAGCAGTTTGGGGAATTCAGGGGTAAAGGAAGATGATGGAGACTGCTCAGGGTTAACAGCACAGGTCTGCGCAGTGTTCCTCTAAGGGAGCAGTGTCCTGCCAAGAAGGGAGCTTCCCTCAGACCCATCTCTGACTTCTGCTTTCATCTCCTTCTTTGTGCAAAGTGCCTGAAATTCCTGCATCACCGGCTCTTCCCTTCTGCCTGTGGCAGAGATGTGGAACTCCTCTCCCTGTAAGTACAAACCTGGTGATGGATTTCTTTCTGTGTTTCACACCTCAGCTGAGGACTTTTTGTTCTCACCAGATTCCTGGTTGTAGACTCGAATCTGAATTGCCCACATCCCTTGGGAGCATTTTCCACATGGAAATGTAACATTATACTGAATAATTTGCATTATCTGGCACTTCCTTCCTTCCTTCCTTCCAAGAAGTAACCAGCCAGCCCATGGTTTGGGTGGACAGTTTCCTCTTCAGGGCTTTAGCTTTGGCTTTGATGATGTTGTGTAGGCACCTAAAGCTGTAATTAAATTAATACCCTTACAGACAATGTCTGATATTGCCAAACACACGAGCAAAAAACCCAGAATTTGTCTTTCTTCCACAGCACTTCTAGGGCCCTTTATTGCCTTTGGTGGGCCAATTTTTTACCTTATATTTTCTAACAGGTTCGGAGAACTGGAGAAACAGCAGCACGTCACCGTCCCCACCAGCTGTGAGATGTCACTGTCCATCCCTGTGTCAGGGTAGGAGCAGAAAGCAGCCAAAGCAGCAGCAGCAGCAGCATTTCCTGGGCTGCCCGAGGCACAGCAGCCTCTGCAAGGGGTGCTTGCCCAGGCTTGCAGGGATCTGGGCTGCAGCTCGTGGGAGGCACTCTGGATCTGTGCCTTGCACACCAGACACCGCCCAGTGCCACCTGGGACCGCTGGTGTGGCACAAAATGACAGCATTTTCCTTCTGCTTCTCAGGGAGGATTATCCCCTACCTGTGCCTTTGCTCCGGGATGCAAAAGCAGCAGCCGTGAGGCTCGGCCACTTCTTTGCTCGGTTGCCCTGGTGAATTTTGGAGCTGGAAGAGCGAAGCTTTGATGTTGGCTGGAATACCTGACTTTCCTGTACCTGTCTAACATCGTGATTAGGCTTTTGTGTTTGATCAAAACGAGAAATCTACATTAAAGGGCTACACCAAGTACCTGTTGGCTTGATCTGAAGGAAAATAACAATCAGCTGTTTTCCCAGGGCTGCAGCACCGAGGAAATGAGCCCCACTCAAGCCTCAAGTTTAGCTTTTGTTGAAGAACAACTGTAATGACCCATTTTAAACAATATTTCTGCAGGTGGAAGTTCAGGTCTTCTGTACTGGATTTCAACAGAGCTGCAATCTTGCAGTTAAGAAATTGTTAGCCCTGCAATTAGGCACCTTTAATTGAATCCCTGCCACTTGCTTAATTATAGCAGCACTTCAGCCGCCCTGTGAGGAGCAGTGAAATCAGCCCTGCCCCACCTCTCCAGGCTGCCATTGGCTGCAAACCTGCCGGGCTGGACGGGCTGCACTCAAGGGGATTTCAAAGCACATAAATAGCAGGGCCTCGGAGCTGCAGGAATGGATTTCCACCTGTCGGAGCTCCAGCCTCTCGCCAGGAACCCGACCTGCTGCCCCGGGAAACCGCTGGAGAAGCAATTCCGCGTCCTGCGGTCCATGGCTTGTGTGAGTGGGTGACCCTGGCAGCATGGCGTGCTGCGTGCTGCAGATCGCCGGGCTGATCTTGGGCGGCGCGGGCATGGTGGGCACGCTGGCGGCCACCGCCATGCCCCAGTGGAGGGTGTCTGCCTACGTGGAGGGCAACATCGTGGTGTTCGAGAGCATCTGGGAGGGGCTGTGGATGGACTGCATCAGCCAGCTGGGCCTCAGGCTGCAGTGCAAGTTCTACGACTCGCTGCTGGCGCTGCCGCCGCCGCTGGAGGCCTTGCGGGCCCTCATGTGCCTGGCGGCGGCGCTGGCCGTGCCGGCCTTCCTGCTGGCCATCACTGGGGTCAAGTACAGCCAGCGCCGCACGGAGGGGCCCGGGGCCGTCAGCACCTTCGTCCTGGCGGCCGGGATGGCCTTCCTGCTGACGGGCACGCTGGTGCTGGTCCCGGTGTCCTGGGCCGGGGGCAGCGTCATCCGCGACTTCTACGACCCCGAGGTGCCGGCGCCGCTGAAGCGGGAGCTGGGGGCTGCGCTCTACGTGGGCTGGGCCAGCGGTGCCCTGCTGCTGGCCGCAGGAGCCATGTACTGCCTCTGCTGGTGCTGGGCCGGCCCGGCTGCCGGGCACAGCTACCCACGGCTGGCCCGGGCGGCGCGGCCGGGAGCGCCGGCCCTGGCCGTCCATGCCTACGTGTAGCTGCTGGCCCCGGCACCGAGAGCTCTGGGCTGCACGGAACCCTAAGGATCGTCCCATTCCAGCCCCTGCCGTGCCAGGGACACCTTCCACCAGCCCAGGGTGCTCCAAGCCCCGTCCAGCCTGGCTTTGGACACCGCCGGGGATCCAGGGGCATGCTGTGATCTTCCTACTTGACGTGTGCTGATTGACTTCCTAATTTACCTCCAGGAGGAGTAATTTTGTTGCTTTGCTCTTTGCCGGTGACTCGGATCTCGGATGCCTGGCAGGACCTGTTCTCACGCAGGCGCTTGGTTAGAGCACAGTCTGCATTTCTTTGGGAATGAGGAACGGCGTGGGACAGCAGCAGTCAGCAGGCTCTCGGGGAAGATGAGCAGCCCGTGCTGGGCTGGAGCGAAGGAGCTGCTGTGCGGCACCCAGTGCCCTGCCAGACCCCTGAGGGGCAGCCCTTGGGAGTGGAGTGTCCCTAAGGAGTGAGTGCCCTGGGAGAAGCCTGGAGCTGGCAGCAGGGCTCGGTGAACAGAGAAGCCTCCAGCTTGCAGTCCTGGCACAGAGATGTTTGTGCTGCCCCAGCAGAGGCCTCTGGGACTGTCCATGGATTTCCCTGATGCTTGTGGAGCTGCTGTATCCTCCTCATCTCCTCTGCAGGGCACGGGACGTGGCTCATGGAACAGATTTTTAACCATTCCCCAGTGCTGGCTTCCCTGCTGCTTGCCACCCCTCCTGCTCTGTAGGCAGCTCCTCCTCCTCTGCAGAGCCCGGCGCAGGCCAGGAATGAGCCCACATGCTCAGGAAGCCCTGTGCCCATGCAAAGTGTAATTTCCAGCCAGGGAAGGCACAGGCAGTCCCCACCTGCCCCTCGGAGCACACAGCTGCTGCCCACGGCTCCCAGCACGCCCAAAAAGCCAAGCCCTGACCTTGCTCCAGCTGCTCCGTGCTTGCCAGGCTGCCTTGGGAATGCAGCCTGATCCTGTCTGTCTGTCCTGCAGGATCCTACAGCATTTGCATGGTCTGGAATTGTAGTGTTCCCAGCTGAAAGCCTTGGAGGCTCCATGTCAGTGGTAAGTGCCCAAGGAAGGCCCAGCTCAGCAGGGCTGGTCTGGTTCTTTACCCAGCAGTGATGGATGGCAGCGTTTAAGGGACAATTTCAGGGCACAGGGCTGGGCTGGCCCTTGGCTGTGCCTGTGCCTGCAGCGGCTGTTTGGGCTGGGGAGAGCAATGTCTCTGTGTATTCATTTGACTGCTCCATTTGAAAGAGAACATGGAAAGCTGCATTTAATTAAAGAAGCCTTTTATTAACTTGGCTTCAGATGAACCTGGATGAGGCAGCGCCGTGCTCCACAGAAATTCATTACATGGATTAACTCAGGAGCATTTGCATGGAAGGCAACCAGCTCAGATCTTGCAGGGGGAATTTTCCAGGCCCCACAAAACTGGTTTAATGTCTCCAGCTCATCACTGGAGCAGTCAAATCAGCACTTATTAATTCTAGATGGAAACTGAAGAAAACACTCGTAAATAGGTTTTTCTAGCACCAAACCATGTTTTTTTTTCTGTTGTCTCATGAAGTCTGTCACGGCAGCTGTCACTGACAGCTGATTTCTGTGGAGTCATTCTGGTGACTCTGGTAATAATTTCCACCACCCTGAGGAACTCCACCTCCTATTTTATTGTGATTTTTTTTCTTATAATGCATATTTTGTTTAATATGGAACTATTTGATGAGTAAGCCAGAACTTGGAGTAATTTAGACATGACATTTGTGATTAACAAAGCAGAGGATGAAGACATTTGCAATGCAAATCTCGAATATTTTGTTTAATATGGAACTATTTGGTGAGTAAGCCAGAACTGCACATTTTGGAGTAATTTAGACATGACATTTGTGATTAACAAAGCAGAGGATGAAGACATTTGCAATGCAAATCTGATACATATTTATGTGTAGGTAATGGATTTAAATGATGATGTATTCAGTGTAATGCAACTTTATGCAGATGTAAGTGCTTAAGAAGTAATTAAGTACAGTTTTCTATAGCATTAATTAGAGGATCCTGAATGCTTCCACTATCCGTGGGCTCATCTAGGAATCAAACTGGAACTGGGCGTGCCATTGGCACTGGTAACTTTATTTTCAAAGAGCAGAAAGATAAAACTGCTTTATTTGAGCATTTGACATCGATTTCAAAGCAAACCTGAGCTTTTTATGTCTGACATCAGTGCCTGATGACTAAATATTTCCCCATTTCTCTCTTTTTCCAGCTGATCAAAAGAGGAGCTCAGACAGAGTCTCTGAGCTCAGACAACCCCGTGCTCGTGTGTGGGCTTGGAGCCCAGCCCTGATCCCAAGGGCAGAGCCAGAGCCATGTCCGGGGCTGAGTGGCACACGTGGCACTTTCTGGGGATGTGGTGGAGCATTTTAGGCTCTCAGGAATACGTCTAAGAGCGTGTGGCACTAACATTTCAGAGTTTGCTGCAGGAGCAGCTGCCTCAGGTGGAGCTGATCTGCGGGACAGGGAACCGGGGGTTGCTTGAGCAGAGCTGGAATTCCCGCATCGTGGATTCTGGTGGGGAAAAGCCCCCTTAGAGGATCAGTGGATGTTTAATGTCTGCATACAAAGGGATTTGGCACTGAGGGGGTGCATGTGTGCCTGCTGAGGGACACAGAGCTTCTCCTCTTCCTCTGCCCTGTTCAGATGCTCTGGGAGCAGGAGCAGGAAAAGGAAGCTGTAAGACTTTAGCAAAAACCCTGCAGTTGGATTTTGCAACTGACCTGCTGCTGTGGATGAGTTTTCTGAGGGCAACAGGAAAAGTTTGGCTGGTGGAGGAGCTGGGACACATCCCCACGCCCAGGGCTGTGCCTGCTCTGGCACATCTCCTGCTCCTGCTGGGTTTTATCCAGCCAGAGCCCGTGCCCAGTGACCCTGAGCGCCCAGGGGCATTCCTGGAGCTCACCTGGATGCTGAAGTGTCCTTCCATGAGGCAGGTGAGGATGCTCAGGAACAAGAGCAAAGGCTTTTCTTTGGGAGGGAAGGAGCCCTGTGTGCTCCAGGAGGGGCCTGGAAGCAGGGTGGGAATAATCCCGGTGTGCCTTGTGTCAGGTTCCTGGGGCTGCTCTCCTGCAGGGGCGAAGCTGCCCTGGTGCTCCGTGCTCACAGCCCCAGCTGGCAGAGCCTTCAGCCTCCCTGCACTGCTGGGAAATAACTGATTAAATACTGTGGGTAAATCTCTGCTGTGATGTCCTGGTGTCTTTTTATGCTTTGGTGTTTGGTGATTGCAGGACAAAGTGACTTTGGAAACAAACGTGTCTAGCTGAGCTCTTGCTGTGTATTTGAAATAAACACATGGATTTGTCAGAAAAACACACAAATACCAGAGTGGTTTTTTGTACAAATTTATTTATTTTAACAGGAGACAGAGGAGTTGTCAAGTCCTGCAGGGAAGTCAGAGGAATGTCCCTCCATCTTGCTTCCTGAACCCCCATTCTGAAAACCCCAAAATTCTAACTTTTCACCCTGTGACAAACTATCATTCTACTTAAACTTTTGTGGCTTGTAAGTCTTCACATAAAGTTGGTAATTTTCTCTGTGGGTTAAAATCCACGGGTGTCTTTGATTTTGTGCCAAGGTCTCTGAGCCCCTGCCAGGGGCTGGAGTCCTCCAGGGCAGCCAGAGGAAGGTCCTGGGTTCTGGCAAGGAGTCCTGCAGCTTTATTTGAACAAAGGCACGGGGGCACAGCCCGCGGGGTTTTATCTCTCTCTCTCGGTTTGGGAGGGCACCGCCTCCTTTCATCCCGAATTCGCGGCTCCCCGTGGCTGCGGTACCGGGCGGGTGCAGCCCCCCGTGCCCCTGGCATCTCACCAGCGCTCAGAGCTTCACCTGCTGCAGAGCCCTGCCCCTCAGGAGCCAGGCTGCCACGTTCCAAACCTGCCGCCCCCAGCCAGCAGGACAGCGGGACCCCTTCCAAAGGCAGTGACACCCACCCCTCACCCCCAGGCTGCTTGTAGGGACAGAGCACTCGTCTGCCCTCCTAGTCCCTCCTCATCTCTCGCCTTACCAGCCCTGGTGATTGCTGCCTCACCCTTTGACCAACACGTGAACACTTGAACCAGCCCCGCCCGCCTCTCCTGTGTGTGCTCCCTGCAGGTGTGGCAGGCAAAGCCAGAGCAAAGCTGGCACTGCCGCTTCCATCAGCCGCTGGAGAGCCTGCCCTGGCCTCTGAGAGCCCAGAGCTCCTCGTTCCAGCTGAGAAACACAAATCTGCGGGGCGTGGGAGACCCTGAGCCGAGTGGGGCGTGTCCACTGGTGTCCAGCTGTCCTGGCTGCTGTCCTGCTGTCCTGCTGGGTGTTCTGGGCACCAGAGGCCAGCGGCAGCGTCTCTGCGGCCTGGGCTTCCTGCCCCACTAATCCCAACCTAACTCAAGGCAGGCTGGAAGAGAGAATAAACTAAATTATAAAAGAAATTTCAAAATACTCAAATGACCTCAGGTAGCCCCTGTGACCTAAAGTAACCCTGATTGTGACCTCAAACGACCCCAATGACCTGGAGTAACCTCGGTCGTGACCTCAAATGACCCCGAGCAGGGTCTGAAATGACCTAAAGTAACCTTTGGAAAATCCAAAGAGTGCCAGTGCCCACCACAGCTGTACCTTTGTGGGTCAGATGTGCCAGGCCATGGCATCCACACAGTCCAGTAGATCCAATCCTCCTTTTCCTCCACCTGGCTGGAGGCAGGGCCCCTCTAATCCTGGTCAAGGTACATGCTGGTCTTCTCCTGTAAATGTGTTCCTGAGAACAAGAACTGGTTCTTCAAGAGGACCAGTGATGTTATCATTCCTATAGTGTCCAGAGTTCTGTCCATGGGAGGCCAGAGCACTGTTGACCAGATGAGCTGCTTATGGTAGAAATTCCTCTTCAAAGTTCAGATACCCAGGCTGCTAAGGAGGAGAGGGCTTTTCCATCCCATGCTGCTGAAAAGAAAAACAGAAATTACCCTGAGGAGTGTATCCTCTCTGTCTGGCTGGGGGACATCTGCTCCTAATGCAGAGAATTGTTGGTTCTTGTGAATGTGGTAAATCCCTTCCTGAAGCTCCTTTCTCAGTTTCTCTTCCAAGCTCCAGATGCTCTCAGCCAGCTTTGTTTCCAAGGATGAGGGATGGGTGCACAACAGGGCAGTGACAGTGTCCTTGTAAATTCCCAGCTTGCTGACCAGGGCTCCCACCTTGTCCTCTCCTTCCCTCCACTGCACATCTCCAGGTAACAGGAGGATCTCTCTGGTCCAAGGTGTGCAAATCTCATCCACATCTGCAATGTGCACTGCACATCCTTGGGGCTCACAGGGAAAAATGATCTCCTTGTTCCATTGTGTTCCATTTCCCCTGGTGCACCTGGAGATCTTTACAAAGCACCCACCCCTCACACTCACCAGCAGTCACTGCCAGGGGCTGACAGTTCCCTGGGTTCTCCTGGTCCCCTGGGCACTGACCACGCCTGGCAGCCCACCCAGGGCCACAGTGACAGTGATGAGCACTGGTGCTGGCTCTTCTCGGTGTGAGGGTCCAGCCACCTCCTCATCAGCCGCTCTTTGGATGGATCTGCTCTTGGACTTCTTCTTCTGAACAGGGGCAGCTGCTGCTGGCTTGGGCTGCCCTGGCTTGGTGACAGTCTGTGTGGAAGCACTGAGTGCCCTTTTGGCTCCTCTTCTCCCTGTGCCAGGCTGTGCAGACGTGCTGCTCGTTGCTTTGCTTTTGGTGTCTTTGCCCTGTGTGCCAGGCTGTGTAGATGTGATGCCTGCTGCTGTGCTTTGGGTTCCTCTTCCCTCCGTGGCAGGCTGTGCGGTCGTGGTGCTCATTGCTGTGCTGTGGGTTCCTCCTCTCTCCATGCCAGGCCGTGCAGCCGTGGTGCCTGTTGTTTCCCTGTGGGTTCCTCCTCTCTCCATGCCAGGCCGTGCAGCCGTGGTGCCTGTTGTTTCCCTTTGAGTTCCTCTTCTCTCCAAGCCAGGCCGTGCAGCCGTGGTGCCTGTTGTTTCCCTTTGGGTTCCTCCTCTCTCCATGCCAGGCCGTGCAGTCGTGGTGCCTGTTGTTTCCCTTTGGGTTCCTCCTCTCTCCATGCCAGGCCGTGCAGTCGTGGTGCCTGTTGTTTCCCTTTGGGTTCCTCCTCTCTCCATGCCAGGCCGTGCAGCCGTGCTGCTCACGGGCTCTGTCCTTCCCTCCTCCTCCTCCTCCTCGTCGGGACGCCGCTGTACCACCCGGTGCACTTCTCTGTCTCTAAGCGTGGTGCAGAGGGTGCAGAGGGTGCAGAGGGTGCAGGCTACAGAGAGAAGATAAAGCAGAACTAACAAGATGATGATGCCATCTTTGACACCCAGAGGGAACTCAAGATTTTCAAAAACTGCTGTGTCAGGTCTGAAGGTCAGGGAGAAACCACTCTCTGCTCTTTCCCCCAAGGGCTGGGTGGGATTGTTGAGGAGGATGCAGATGGAGCAGGCCAGACTAGGACAAGAAAACGAAAGTGAATTTATATTCCAAGTTATGTTCACTTCCTCAGAGGTTATAATGCAATAGACACAATAAGCCAACAAAGCAATTTTCATACCATTCCCTGAACTCAACAGGAGCAGTGCAGCAGACAGGTAGTTCCCCATGTGTGGAAAAAGACAGAGAGCAAGGAATGAGACCCACATAAGCATGGTGAGCATCACGGTGAGCAGGAGGTTTCTGTAACACAAAATTGTAATTCTGACTTCTCTCAGGACTGGCCCCACACAGGGTGCCAAAACATGTACCAGTTTGAAAGCAAACCAGTAGGAGATCCCAAGTCAGAGCTACAATTTAATAGGAGAAGTAAAATAAAGGCAGAAAACACCAGCTTAAACTGACAGAGTCAGAATACAACCTGGCACCCTGTGGTGTGATCAAATGGTGGCTGCGGCTCTCTGGGAGGGATGGCCGTGGTTCTGTCGGAGCACGGATCCTGCACAAGGGCCTGGTCTGTCTCTGGAGGTCCCCTGGTGATTCTGGACCTCTTCTCCTCTGGGAACTCAGCAGGCAAAGTGCTCGTGGTGCTCCAAGTCCCAGCTTATATGCAGGTGGGACTGCTTGGGTCCTCCCCCTGGGCGGAGCATCTCACAATGGGATGATGTCACTTAAGAGTCACTCTCTCCATGCCAGGCCGTGCAGCCGTGCTGCTCACGGGCTCTGTCCTTCCCTCCTCCTCCTCCTCCTCGTCGGGACGCCGCTGTACCACCCGGTGCACTTCTCTGTCTCTAAGCGTGGTGCAGAGGGTGCAGAGGGTGCAGAGGGTGCAGGCTACAGAGAGAAGATAAAGCAGAACTAACAAGATGATGATGCCATCTTTGACACCCAGAGGGAACTCAAGATTTTCAAAAACTGCTGTGTCAGGTCTGAAGGTCAGGGAGAAACCACTCTCTGCTCTTTCCCCCAAGGGCTGGGTGGGATTGTTGAGGAGGATGCAGATGGAGCAGGCCAGACTAGGACAAGAAAACGAAAGTGAATTTATATTCCAAGTTATGTTCACTTCCTCAGAGGTTATAATGCAATAGACACAATAAGCCAACAAAGCAATTTTCATACCATTCCCTGAACTCAACAGGAGCAGTGCAGCAGACAGGTAGTTCCCCATGTGTGGAAAAAGACAGAGAGCAAGGAATGAGACCCACATAAGCATGGTGAGCATCACGGTGAGCAGGAGGTTTCTGTAACACAAAATTGTAATTCTGACTTCTCTCAGGACTGGCCCCACACAGGGTGCCAAAACATGTACCAGTTTGAAAGCAAACCAGTAGGAGATCCCAAGTCAGAGCTACAATTTAATAGGAGAAGTAAAATAAAGGCAGAAAACACTAGCTTAAACTGACAGAGTCAGAATACAACCTGGCACCCTGTGGTGTGATCAAATGGTGGCTGCAGCTCTCTGGGAGGGATGGCCGTGGTTCTGTCGGAGCACGGATCCTGCAGAAGGGCCTGGTCTGTCTCTGGAGGTCCCCTGGTGATTCTGGACCTCTTCTCCTCTGGGAACTCAGCAGGCAAAGTGCTCGTGGTGCTCCAAGTCCCAGCTTATATGCAGGTGGGACTGCTTGGGTCCTCCCCCTGGGCGGAGCATCTCACAATGGGATGATGTCACTTAAGAGTCATCCAGAGAGATTTTGGGGGGCCCCTGCACAGAAATATCCCTTGGAGAAACTTATTGGAGATGAGTCATGGAAGACAGAAAGAACAGTGTTCTAACAGCTTATGGAGGTGGGGATAGCATTCATACTTTCAGTTTCAGTTTTTATTCTCACCTAAGACATAACCCCA